TAGCCTTGAGCACAGATGCTGCAACAAATGTGCTCAGATACCAGGATGATGGGCTCAGCTGATGAGCAGAATCAAGGTGTGTTATAGTGTAAGGCAGCAGAAAAGCATCAAGAAGCAGTAGGAGAAGGTAAATAGCTAAAAAGGGCAGACAACCCCTTATTGCACTAAAAGCAGTGTAACAATAGGCTGTCGTCCATCTGGGCTGAGTAAAGTCCTAGCAATTCACTGGATAGTGAGGGAGTAAATAGCTATTTAGCAGTATATGCTGAAGTGTTAGAGAAGTTCTGCTGAGTCATCAGAGGCCGGTCCAAATCAAACCACCACATCCAACCCACTTTGCTTAATATGTGCATGGAAGGTGCTGCAGCCCTGTGGTGTTGAACTTGTTGCTTCTGCCGTCCACCTCCCTGTCTGTCTCTGAAACTGGTTCCTGCTGTGTTTGCAGGTCTGATCCTCAGTAAAATGTGCAGTCCCGAGGTGTAGAAGGTGAAGTGGGACTTCAGGCACCTTACCCTTGAAATGCCAGCCTCGTCTCTGCTAGGAACTGCGTGTATGCAAGGTATCTATGGGCATCCCCTGCCGCCTCTTGCTTTCCTGTGATTGTAGTGTGATAATATGTCTCCTGTCAGCATCCCAAAGCACACTGAAAGATGGAAGCTCTGTGTCTTGTATCTTGCCTCTTCGAGAAACTTCTTTCATATTTTAATGACTATGTCCTTGGTTTGTGCTGCCCTTTATTTGCACTGCCAGTTTTCAATCCCACAGATAATTGGGAGAAAATAACCCGTGAAGCAAATTTTTCACAGATAAACAGAATAACAAACACCCTTTGACACTAAAAAAATAAAGTTACAGCATTTACAGAGAACAGCAACTTAATTATGTGGGGAAAAAACCCCACTGGGTACAGACTTAACACATGTACATACGTATGTTTAAAATTTAAAGAATTGCCCTTTTTGCTCTTTATATTCCGTGGTCTAATATGAGTTTAGGTGAGCCATTATCTTTTTTTCTCAGATCAAGAAATGAGAATGGAGACTGAATTCTCACTTCAGCAAATGTTTTCCTCTGTCCTTAACCCGTGTGGTTGTATAATGATTTTTGTGATGCTCTGAGAGATCATGTAAGATTAGAACTGTTTAGAGCAAATGCTCAGCTCTTATATTTGCAGAGACGAGGGTGAAGAGAGGGCTCTAAGAGTGAAGGGCTCAAAAAATAGAAAGCTAATGAGAATCCATGGTTGGGGAAGGAGTGTTTGATTAGTTTGAGAGCTTCTTTTTAATTATTTTTATTTTTACAGTTGAGGGTAGGTGGAGATGCTGGCAGTCTTATTTGCGCTTTTGCACATTTTCAGGTTTTATACAAGAGAGAATGGGAGGCAGAGTCTTATGTAGGAATTTGCTGCAAAATTATTGATTTGTATTATGAAACATGCAGACTTTCTCATAAGTGGCAAGAGGAAAAAGTGTAGTGTTGTTTAATTGGGGATTGGGTGTTAGTGAAATAATTAGGAGTTTCTTTACATTGTCAGCATTGAGTCGCCTAGAAACTTCTTGGTTTGGGAGTTTATGGTGTTTCTGTGGGGTTTTTTTACAGCACATAAAAAAGACCTACTCAGTCACAAGAGTCCATGAAGGTCTGCTTGACATGCAGGGACCCTCCCAGACCATATAAGCCAAACACAGACATTGTCAAAGGTAGAAACCTCTTGTTGCGAAAGGCATGGAGTAATTCTTTGTTGACACGAGAGTGACACACTCAGGCAGGCTAATTTAGCCTGTAAGAATAAGGGGAAGGAGAACTGTGTTGGTGTAGCAAATCTGTTCTTATAACTAAAAATTGATTTTGACCTTTGTGGAGATACTAATTTCACCTCCTGGTGAAAGAAAATTTTGGGTGATTGCTTCAGGTCTGGTACAGGACTTGAAAAATCCATCAGCGATTTTGATTTGTTTTGACATGTTTTTTGGCCAACTATTGCATTTTGTGTTTCTGTTTCTCCTAAGTATTTGCTTGCAGGCATTGTTGCTTGTTTGTTTGAATCCTCACTGCCTTGGCAGTTGAACAGCGTTGCCCAAAGGTCACAGCATTATTCTTCATTCCTGTATAACAGGACTCAAATAATAAAAATGAGACAATAATCATAAATGAGATTTCAATAACAGAAATACCTTTACAATTCTGTAATCTGTTTGGTTTGCTTGTTGTTCTCTTTCATAAGACTTACCTTTCTGACTTTTATATATTCTTCAGTAAGAACATTATCAAAAATTACTGTGTTTATTTAGACTACTACAGTGCCTTTGGCTCCTGTCATTAGGATGGCTTAGTGAAGAGTCTAGAAAATAGCTTCCATTACTTTGACAACAAAGTCTTTATAAAAACCTTATTCTAACTCATTTTCAGAGTCATTCCAGGCAGCAGAATAACCCATGTCCCCAACCCGTGTTCAAGGGTCAAACAAAATGTTTGGTCTCTGCTCTGTTGTCCCACATCAGAGAATAGGTCCAGGTGGATTTTCTGGGGCAAAATTTCCTCTGTTGGCATTATATGTTGAGGGCTCTGTAGCAGAATCTCTTTCAATTACCACATGAGGCAGACATTTAAATGTGTGTTTCAGGTGATGCTGGGGAAGAGCCACTAAACAGATGGGGAGAATTCATGCAGGGGTTCAGAGCAAAACTAATTAATTTAATTAAAAAACTAGGAATCATTTCCCTGTTGAGAGGGTATGAGCTAAAGATGGTGCTCCAGGTTCTTTATTGTGGAGAACTGAACAGTTTTTCTCTGAAATCTTTATTTCTTCTGAAACTGCTGAGTTTCTCATCCTAAAAATGTGGGTTGGTTTTGTTCCATTAATTATTTAATTGTTCTTAAATAAACTCTGGATCTAAAAAAATAAAAGAGATATGTGACCTGCCCAATTGTATATACTGGTTTAGTTTACATCAATATCTGGAAAGGGAGAGAAGACAGTAACAGAATTTAGACAAAAAGATTCCCGAAGCCATCTGCTCCTCTCCTTGCAGACATTAGATGTTTATAGTACAACAGCAGAACATGGAATGACTCTCCTTTCCTTCAGGACTATGCTGTCTGTCTGTAAAGTGAACACAAAGTAAAGTGAAAATGTCTCACAGGCAGCCACAAACTCCCACTGATTTGCAGTCTGGTTTACATACTTCTCAAAAATCTTAGCAATCCTTCGCCTTCCTGGAAAGCCATTGTGGGATGGTGCTGGGCTGATGTCACAGATTATAGCTAAGGAACTCAGGATCCTTCAGGGGCAGGATCACAGTTTCTCAGGTCTGGCTTAACCCAGCAGACTGTATATCTGTGGTTGGACAGAGCCCAAAGAGACAGTATAAAAATAATAAATTATTAATATCTGGAAGATGTAAAGCTCAATGAATAAGTAATAACTTGCAGCACTTTCCTTTTCTTAGAAAAATAGACTGGCTGTATTTTTTAAATTTTCCTTTCATTGATCATGTTTCTTCTGTTGCTCTTTCGAAGTATCCTAAGGTACTGAAACTTAGGATTAATTTAACAAAAACTAAGGAATTTACACTGCTGCCATTCAGGCTGAGAAAGAGGAGAGAAGAGATGTTTTCTGAAAAGAGCTTTTGTTGATTTTGCTAGTGGAGAGGGAGGGTCTGGAACAGCTTAGTGATTGCATAGCTGCTTCCAGCAGCATCTCCCTAGGAACGTAGTAGAGGAGATCCTACTGTGTGCCTGTGGAGATGGAGGCACACAAAAAGGTACATTAATTTTCCTGGTGTCATCTCTCTGGTTAACAGAACTAAATGCTCAGGGTGTCTCCCAAGTCTCATACTTGTGTTTTCCTGGTAGCATAAGACAGGGAAAACTTTTTAGACAAGCACATGTAGCATGCCGTTTAAAAGAAGAGTGGGATGGGATTTTATCACTGGCCACCACCACTCTACTAGCACTGACAGGGATCCAGTCCTTTACCTTTAAAAGAATCCAAGTTGGGCTAAGCCCTTTGGTATGCCCAGCCAACAGGCACATTTGGAGATCGCCTCCTGTTTGAAGTGATGGTTTCTCTGCAGTCCTGGCAGGATTTCGACCTTGATAACTCTGCTGCACCTGCTTAAAATCCCTCTCCTGTGTTTCCCTGGATATGGCATGGGCCCCTCATGTGCTGCAGTGCTTCAGTGTTCCCCTTCCAATTTCATACCACCTGCTCCTAAAATGATTTCTAGATCACTTGTACCCCCATTTATTAATCTCGCTGGCTTCCTTGTAATTATTTCAAAGGATCTAAACGTGAAAACAGTAAGTGTGTGCACAGCCTTTGTGCTGTTTTGTGCAGCAGCTTCTCTTGTTGTTTATATGCATCATCCAGCAGGTTGTGATCCCTCCATATTCCTTTTACCAGTGAGGTTTGGGTTCATCCACATTAGTCTCAATCGACCTGTTGCCCCCTGTGACCACATCCTTGTTGGTAATGGAGCTAGAAGGGCTATTCTTGAGAAGAAGGGGGAACTGATGCTTATTGAAGGTGTGGGATCTGCTCAGGTCTGGAGGTGGATCTAGGGAATCAGATCTATTCTTCACATAGGTGCAACAGGCAAGGTGCAACAGGGCCTTTCCTTCCACCTGTGACTTGTTAGAGAATATTATCACAGTGAGTTTATTTTGTGACTTTGAACACCTCTACACAAAGTCTGTACCTCTTCTTTAACTTCATATTTCTTTTTTTTCCCCCTCCCTCTTGGTATGTCATTGTTTTCTTTAATGTATTGGCAACAGAGCAGCTGTTTTTGCTTTGTCCCTAATATTGGTTTCTCCATCCAGACTTCAGAACTGGGAGATCATTGAAATCTGTCTTTTCTGTGACTTTTAGGCAGAATTGGGTGCTTCACTTTCCCCTTTGCCTGCAAGTATTTCTTTTCATGCCATAAAATCAACGCGCTCTGGGTGCTTTTTCTTTAATCTGACTGCTGCTAACCCTGAGTTCTTTTCATTAACAGGTTAGCTTCACAGGAAACCCGTCACCGACAGCCTGCCCAGCGAGAAAACTCCAAGGAGAAGCTGAGCGCAAACAACATCTTGGAGGCAGTCCATGGGGACTGTACCAGATCCTCTGAGATCTGCCAAGCTTTCCCTTGTCTCGGCTTCTGCAGAGGAGGAGCACCTGGGAGACCTGCAGTCTGCTAAGCACCAGCCCCAACCACCCAGCGGCCAGAGGACCAGCAATGGCTTCCCATGCACACCGTCCAGCCCAGCTGCAGTTTGCTTGTCCGACCTGAAATGTGCAGGTGCTGCTGGCACACAGAGGTGTGAGCAGTGCCACGAGGACGATGAGAGCCAGCAGGAAGCCTTTCCTCCTGGGCTCACCAGAACGGCTACAGAGGGGCATCCTGCAGCTGTAAATCCTGCTGGTTGCTCCCACCCGGTGGGCAGCGGAGCACCGGCAGCACCAGCCCTTCCTGCAGCAGGAGCCCTCTCGGTGGGGCAGGGACCAGAGATGATGCCAGCCCCCCAGAGCTCCCGACAGTTCGTGCAAGGCAGCCAGGTGAAAACGAGCTCCCTGACGCAGATAGATGACTCTGCCTTGAAACCTCAGGGGACTGATGATCAGCCGGCACTTGAGGTGTTAAATTATTCTTCCCCAGGTGATCCTATCAGGGGTAATGAATCCTGTCATACTTCTCAGGCAAACCTTCTGCAAAGAGGGGAAAAAGACAGGGGAGCAGAAAATAATGGTTCCAGTGCATGTCAGTCAGCCTTGCCAGCAAGGCAAACCGAAGCTGACCTGGGGAGAGACCCACAGAGCAGTTTGGAGGCGAAGAGCGGGACTGCAAACACGGCACAGTTGCAGCCCGCAGATAAAGCTGAAGTGGTGCAGAGCAACACGGCACCAGCCCAATTAAGCCACAGGAGTCCACATCTTGTACGCAACACGGACCCCAGGCCAGGAAGTCCAGGCCCCACTCAGCTCTCCAAATTCAGAGAAACAGGTACAATGACGGTTCAGCCAGAGAGCAACTCTTGGACTCAGGAAGCTGTAAGTAGGACATGGCGAGATGCTGAGGTTCAGGCTGTGGCTACCGTGGAGAGCAAATCCGCCTCCACCAGTCCCAGCATCCTTGTTGCCTTCTTGAAAGGGAATCCTCCAGAGGAGAAGGAAGAACTGCATGTAATTTACCAAGGAGGTATGGGGCTGAGCCAGGCTGCACATACTGACAGTTTATCCCCACAACAAAAGTCCCCGTGTTCTCCTGGTATCACACCAAAATCGACTGTTATGGCTGTGACTGCTTCAGCCCAAACCCAGCCTGTCAAACCGCCTGGGGTCCCATCTGACATGGTGTCTCCAGTGTCAGCAGATAATGCAAAACCTGTTGTCCCCCTCTCCCCTACAGCCGTTACCTCCCAAGGGACATCTGTGGGTCATGCTGGAATGACCGGTGAAGCCCGTGATGGCAAGGATGCTGCTCAGCTGCCAGTGGATGCTCCAGTCCCACCAAAGCCTGTTCCAGTCGAGCAGCTTGCTGTTGACTCCAGTAATCAAACTCCATCCCAGTCTGGGACTGGCACTGATAAACCAAGCAACACTTCCCCTGCTGCTGTCCGAGGAACTGGGAACAACACGCAAGATCTTGTCAGTGTTGCAGGAAGCAGCCCATTAGCTTTACTCTGTAGCACAGACAGTGAAGTCAAGCAGAAGGAGATCCCAGCCAGCTCTGAGCAAAAGCCTGTGCAAAGTAAGGGTGCAGGTCAAGGGGAGGCCATTCCTTATCAATCTGTGGTAAAACCAAAGGAAGAAAACTTGATGGTGCTTGATCCTAAAGGAGGGATGAATGTTAGCAGCCAGCCTGCCACTGTCCATGTAACGGCGTGCTTGGAGGATGTAGGTGAGAAGGAGAGCAGAGGCCAGGCAGACACCAGCCAGTCTCAGACAGCCAGCAGCCAGAACCTGCAGGCAGGACTGACATCTAAGATGAGTGGGAGTTCTCCAGGTCTTGCCCATCCTGCAGCAGCATCGGCATCTCTCCAGCAGCAGGGCTTCCAGGCCAGGGAGTCCAGACACGAGCCTCACACAGCAGCGATTCCTGCTTCAGCTCAGGCCTTGCCGAACCTGGGGGAAAACAAAAAGCAGCCCACCCCAGCCATGGAGGCAAAAGTGCAAGTGAAGCAGTCCAAACACGTCAGGGATGTTGTTTGGGACGAGCAGGGAATGACGTGGGAAGTTTACGGTGCTTCCCTTGACCCAGAATCCCTGGGAATTGCCATCCAGAACCACTTACAGAGACAAATACGGGAACATGAGAAACTGATCCGGGCCCAGAATAGTCAGACACGGAAATCCATTTCCTCGGATACATCCTCAAATAAGAAACTGAAAGGGAGGCAGCACAACGTGTTCCAGTCCATGCTGCAGAATTTTAGGCGTCCTAACTGCTGTGTCCGACCTGCTCCCTCTTCTGTGTTAGACTGACATGGTTTGCAGGGGTGCCTGGATCTCTGCACTGGTACAGAGAATCCCTCTCCTCAAGTCTCGAGCCCTGCTGTTCGGTTGTGTTACTGGGGTTGTGATGCAGCAACACTGGAAAATTATTCCCCTTTGTTTTCTGACTAGCCACATGCTCCATCATGCCATTATTATTGTCACAGCTGGTGTATTCCCACATTATGCCCCCATCCCGATTACTGTCAGATGAAAAGCTAGGCACTTAGCAAAAGCACAAATTTCAATTGCCACCTTGCTGCAGGGAGAGCAGCACCTTCTGATAAAGCAGGAGGCGAGAGATTATCAGAATTTTTATGGGAAATTATTTGTGTGCATCATGAGGTCTTATACAAGGGGGTGGACTGGGGGAAGCTGTGGGAGGTGGAACTAAGGTTTAACACCTGTAAAGACCTAACACAAGACAGCTTTCCTGGTGTAAGTTACCTACGCTGAGGCAAATCCATGAACAGGCTATGGACATTGATCACTGAGCAGTCTCACTTCTGATGATACTGTGGCGCACTGTTCTCAGGTGAGCCACAGGGAGCCTCTTGTTGAAATGGAGAACCAGGCAAAGAGTGAGGATCAAGACTGAAGGACTATCTCTTTGGGAGAAGCTAAATCAATGGGATTTTGATGGCCAGAAGGGGAGGTGAGAGAGGGGCTTTTTGTCCCCTTATGGGGACAAAATATACCTTAAGCCATGCTTAAGGTATAAGCAGGCAAGGCACAGGAGAGCACATTGGTAGATGTACCTACATCCAGTGGGATGGTGCCTACTGGGGTGTTCCTGCCAGGTCTTTCAAAAGCAGTGAGCCATTCTGGCTCCTCATCTGGGGTGGGCAGTCCCTGCTCCCAGCCTCCCACGGCGCTGAGTACCTCTCCTCTAAATCACTCTTTAAAGTGATTTGGATCTTTCTTCTCTCTCCAGAGATGTTCTCCTGTACGAGCAGGCTGTCCTGTCCATTTGGGTCCATGAGCCTCCATGTCTACTGTGGGTCTTTTTCCCTTTTTAAGTCCTTAGCCAACTCTACTTTTTCAGTATTTTGGTGCTTTTCTTGCTGCCTTTCATAAAACCAATACCATTTATTTAGCCTGTGTGTATTTTGTTTTACCTAACACTCTATATTATAAACCATTATATTGTTAACTTGAAAAATTTACTTTATAGCAGTACTGAAATCTTGAGACAATCTTTGCTGTATTTCTGAAGTTAGAAAAGTTATAGAAACTGCTAATAAAAGGTAGCTTAGTGACTGTTTCTCCAGAATTGTGATATACAATGTCTCAAATGTATGTTGGTCGCATTTCTCAACGTAATATTTTTCAGCCTGGGAAATATGTTTCCCACTAGCTTTTTATTCTGTCCACTAGAGTTCATAATGGGAGGCTGGGGAGCTCCTGCAGTTAGTAGGAGATTTAGTTATCAATCCTGCAAAGCACTGAGGATTTGGATACTGTAGTCCTGCAAAGTACTAGAGTTAAATAGGAGTTACTTTTATTCCATTAAATATTTTTCTTGAATCATGATAATTTTTTATCCATCTCTAGTACCACACACCTGACTTACTCTGTAGATCTTACTCTTACAACTTACTCTAAGTCTTACAGGTTTACATAGTGTAAATGAGTATTTATCTTTTTTTTTTCTTTTTTTTTTCTGTGAAGTGAATCTGAGGTAGTTCCCTTTTATTTAGGAGGCCAGATTTCTTGAGTGTATCAACTGGCAACCCTTCATAGTAGATGTTTTGGGGTAATTTTTCCCCAACAGAAAAGTAAAATACTGTAATATGCAATATTTTAACCCATTTCAATGAAAGTTTTTGCTTCTAGGCATAGTACTGAATTGACTCCCAGTTTTCCTCTGGTGCATATCTGGGGGCTTTATGTCATGTCTTTGTTCAATTTCTGTACGTTATTTCAAGTCCTCTCCCACTTGTGATACTGAATTGCTCATTCTGAAGCAGCACATTAGAGAGTGTCTTCCCACCTCTGCCTACCAGGAGGAAAGTCTCCAGCCTTTTTTTCTGTTAGTACTGTTGTTTCCATCCCCTTCCTAGCAGTGTCTGAGATGTGAGTTTCATGTGAAATTTTGTGTGGGATTAATATTGGCAGTATCATTAGGTCAGGTTAGTTGACAAGTTCAGTGTCTCTTCCCACATTGTGTCCATGTCAGACCTAACAAGGTTCCCCGAGCTGTCTGTGGTTCTTGCTGTCTGCTGTCCAGGTCCAAGGCTTTGTGCTGCTCCTTTTGCCTCCCTTCTGCCCCTTCCCTCACTAGCTGTTGCCCAGCCTGTCTTCTTGTGAAACCGTGTCCCTTGGCTCAGCTTGCATCCCTCTCTCTGCTGTCCCCCCTTCCTGTCGTGCCGTGAGCCAGCTTATTCTGAACTGTCCCTTTACAAATATCCTCAGTCTGAATATACAAATGGATTGTCTTATTTTTTTCAAGAAGAGAATAAACAGCTATCGCGCGTTCACCGATTTCTATGAACTTTATTCTTTAGCTTAAGCTCTGCAAAATACTTCTAGCATAGGGGTGGCTTTACTGAGACCAAACTGGGCTTGGTGATGAATGAGCAGGGTGTGCTGGGCCAGCACTGGAATTAATTCTTCTTTGTGAGGAATGGGCGATCTTCCCTGGTTCCCTGCACCTTCTTTCAGTTGTGAGTCTCACTAGCCAGTCCACCCACACCTCCCTTCTCCACACCAAATTTTCTTCTAGGAAAATTTCACTAATGAATACATACCACAGAGCAGCGGTGGACGAGTTACTAAGTGGATGCATCTGAACAACTGCATGGGCATAACTGAAAAAAAAAAAATGTAGTGCTCAGCATGTATTCTGGGAAAATATGAGTGCAAAGATGCAAAGTGTCTGTGACACAGTCTAGTGAGTGCAAAAGTCCTGCAGACGTGTGTTTGAAGTCCAGCAATAAAGTGCCAAAAGCCAACACACAGAAATGAGTCGATAATCACCAGCACATCTCATAGAAAATACTTTAGGTTTTGACTTTGCCTTGCTAGGGCAGACTGTAGACAAGCTGCTAGTTTTAACACTGGTGATTTATGCTTACTCCTCCATACAGTGTCTAGATGAAAATGTGAATCCTCATATGGATGACACATGTTTCACCAGCAGCAAAACAGAACCATGTTTTGGGTAGCAACTAGCAAATATTATGCGTGTGAGTGGGCTTGTAGCAGCCAAGAAAGACTGTTCTTGGTGTCTTCATTTGTCAAAAATGAAAGTGTGCCTGGAGTAGTGATATGGCAGAGAGTAGGGGCAGATGATCTGTGTGCCACCACCCCACTCCTTTTCTCTGCCCAGTGACTCAGAATCACATTGCTGATGGTTGGATGGCTAAAAGCTAAGGAAATCCATTTGGGTTAATAAAAAGGGGGTTCAAAACAGAAAATAATTTGTCATTTCCAAGAGTAAATCTATATGAAAAAAAAAGGAGAAAAATACCTGTATTGCAGCCTAGCCAGTTGGAGTAACTTTTAAATTCATTTTTTTGCAAGATGAGAAATTTTGGGAAACAAGCTTATTGTCACTATTCCCTGTTGGTTGCATCTTCTAGGAAGGTTGACATGGACAGAACCATTTATAAAAGCAGTGAATGAGAATAGAATATTTACCTCTAGTTTCACTTCAGGAGCTTTGCACTAGGAAAAGATGAGAATAAGCACATTTCAGTGTTACCAATACAAAACCTGAGTTTTGGAGTATCTTGGTGCAGGCAATTTGCAATATAGTCCTGGATTTCATGTAAGGCTGTGACGTATGTTTGTGTGTACTTGGTTGGTGTCTGCCAGCTTTGTGTTGCTTTGGGGAAGAAAAAAGAGTGGGGAAGTAGCTGAATAGACAAGAAGGGGAATATCTGTCTTCTCCATTTCAGAGGAAAAAAACCTTCTCTTGAATATACAAGAAGAAATTGCTGAGAAACATGGGGAGGGAGGGACCAAAAGGCATATAAAATAAATTTAATGTATGTGCTTCACAAGGAATTCCCATTCCTGTGTGTGTAAAGCCAGTGCTTAGGTTCTGCCCATTTCTTCATTCTGGCCTCACACATTTTTCATATTGTTGGTGGTATCCCATGGCTTTTAGGAAAATTAGCATTTCCAAAGGCTATATATTTGGCTAGTATTTATAGATATATCCAAATTCGATTAAATAAACCCTCTAGGCAAACAACCTCAGTTTATTACTGCTAATGCAATTGTAAAATGCACTGTTTGGAGGAGTATATTCAAGGGATTCAGAAAAAGTGAATGTATGCTCTAAAGATAACACTAGCTTTTCTCTTGAATTTCATTAGTATGTTGAAATGTTAAAGGTAAAAGTGGAAATCCAAATGTGAAGATCAGTGTTGAAGGAAAATTCAAATTGGCTGCCACTGGTTTTTGGTTTGGAAACTTGATGGAATATACCATTACAGTGTTTCATTACTTAGCTCAGTGTATGCAAGGTTTGTGTGAAAGCACAAATTTTATTATCCTGTTAGCTCCATTGTCTTGTTCAGTGTCTATCCTTCTACACTTCTTAAAAATTAATACAAAACGTTACCAAGACAGAGTAAATCTTACACAGCTTAATGGGAACAGCTTCTCCGAAAGAGGCAGCTGATTGTCAGGCTCCGTGGGCTTAAAAAGTTACAGCTGCAGTTTTAGTAACCAACCTCGGCTGGTTAATTTTTTGATGTCTCTGTAATGGCTCTGTGAGTGGTCAGTATTTTCAGTTGTCCCAAAGATGTGCACATAGATTCTTATCCAAATACTGCACACTATCAAGTATCTCTGGGATCACTGGATGCTGCAGTGGTTCATGGACCTGAAGGTCAGGGCCTGTACCTTGAACTGGCTGCAATGTTCTTTTAGGGGCCTAAATTATCCCCCTTGATTTAGTGTAGATGTTTAAAAGAATGAAGTATTACAGCTGAATTGAGCCAAGCTGAAATTACTATCATCTGGGTTTTTTAAACTCTTGAGATTTACTGGGTTTTTTTCTGCTTTTTGCTTTTCTGAGCAGCCCTTCCTTCCTAGAATTTCTAACATGGATTTTGCATCAAAACCTGACAATGAAGATCTTGCAAAGTGAAGCATACCTTTCACCATTCAGGCTGCTTTTAAAAAAAAATTATTACTGAGCCAAATCACATAGAGAGGAAATATTTTTTCCTCTAGGAAAATGTTTGCTGTAGGTAAGCTTATGTGTACCTGTGTCCCTTTTTTAAAGGGGAGTGCATGTGTGCAAGTCTCATGCATCATTCATGCTCTAATGACTTTTTTCCTTTGCCCTTCTGATTGAATGCTGGAGGCTTAGCATTTTCTACAACATTGAGGCAAGTTTAAATCACTCTGCAATACAGAAACAAGGATTTTCTCTTTATCTGGTCTCTAAAAAACTGACTATGGGTGACAGCAAGCATTGGAGTTCATTAGGAATAGAATCACATTGCCTCATTTGAAATAATAGACCTTAAGTTTTTGTTAGTTTTCTGCTTAGACTGACACTCTTTGGAGTAGAAATAAATGGCATCTGCCAGCAAAGTCTCCAGAAGTTGTCTGCTGCAGAATATGAGTCCCAGATGCTTCTCAGCAGCTCTGCTGCAACAGGTGACCCTTCTGCTGCAGTGTCCTCCTGACAGCACTTCCCTTAGCCCAGTTCACAATCAGTAATTTCAAGTACGTCAAAAGCAAGTTTAGACACTGCCATGAGGAATTTCCATAAAATGGAAGAGAAAGATCCCTGTGTTTGTGGCACATAAAATCACATCTGAGTTGTGAAATAAAGGTCTCAGTGGCACACTGAAAAGTACATGGAGTTTCTACCTAGAGCTAAAGGGAGGGAGCATAGCTGAACTTTTAATTCCAAAAAACTATGGCCGTGGATCAGTCAGCAGCAGAAGAAAACTAACTTCGGGGCTTCTAACAACGAATAATATTATTGTGGCGTTAATTATTTTATAGTTACACTGATTGAACGTGATGTACTGTACAAAATAAAGCTAGTATTAGGCTTCCAGGTGTACCGTGGCATTCATTTGAGACATACCAACAGAAGTTTGCATGTGAAGAAGTCTTACAGTGATACTAAAGCAATGTTACCCACCTGACTGAGTCCCTTAGGAATTTAATGTTTTGCTGTTTTACATCTGGTTTCCATGCTGAGTACAATAAAATGAGCACTGTCTTAATTATTCTGGGTCTCTGTTTGTAGGCTGACATGGGAAAAGAAAGGACTTTTCAGGCTGGACCTTCTGGCTAAATCTGTGAATGTCTATAAGTCAGAGCAGCTACGGAGGGCTTTCTGAATTCAGGCCTGAGACCTGGCACCTTGCAAAGCTTAGCATGGTGGAAGCTTCCAAGTGCTGTCCCAGCTGGACAAGAGACCTGTCTGCTTCCGTCTGTGTAAGTGCAGTTGCCTTTGCACAGCTGTTCATGAGCACAGGCTTTTCTGCATCAGCTGCTACTCTACCCTTCTGCATGAATTCACTCAGCCTTTCAGCAGTCCATTGCCACACAAAAACACATTACTCATCCAGCTCGGCAGCCCAGGAGCCGAGGTGGAAAACGCAGTGTTTTAACCCTGCTGTGTCACTGCTGTAGCAAATTGTCACCACCACCCACCAGCACACACCACACACAAAGCTGAGAGCACCAGCATCACAGTAACCATTTTTCTTCCCTAAAAAAAAGAGGAAGTTTCAGAGTGCAAAAGAGCATAAGATAACTGTGGCAGTTAAGTATTTTGATCCAGCAGTGTTACAGGTATGGTATTTCCATGTACCTGACTTTTACTTGAAAGCATGAGGACCCCACCTCAGCACACACTTTCCTATGGTGAGAGGAGAGGAGCGGAACAGACTGAGATAATGTGGTTGCATGGTGCCTCTGCTACCCAGTGAGTTTCTGTCTGCTCACCCCCAGCTGGAATCTCTCCCCAAAAAAGAGCTGTTTCCTTCAATGTGTTTCTGTACTTGTGTCTTGGCTATGAGTGCTCCGGGTGCCTCAAGTAACTGCCCAGTCCCTTGTGTAATTGCAGAGGGTATTTTATTAATGAGCTTTGCTAAGATTCCTTGTCAGGTTCAGGTTCCTGCATGCTAGTGGCTGCCAAACATTAGTCCTGAACCCAAACTGCCAGGAGCAAGGTGCTTCCCTGCAGTACCTGGATTTATTCAGCTGTGTGCCACAGTTGGCAAGGTCTCTCTTAGGCCAGAAAGCTGAGGTATCCCTTTTGTACTTCATGCCTGTAGTCTTGCTGCAGAAAGGAAAAAGCCTAAGGGACTGATGCAGCAGAAAAAAGAACAGTGCAGAAGATAAGCCGTCTTTCTATCAAACCAATAATCACCAGTGCACATTTTCCATCTGATGCAGATTTTGTATCATATCATGTGGCGGTTTCAGGGAGATAGTGCCTTCATATATAAAGAGTAAGTCTGGCTTCTAGTTCATACATCAACTGATGTACTGA